TTCCTTCCCTCCTTCCTTCCTTCCCTCCCTCCCTCCCTCCCTCCCTCCTTCCTTCCTCCCTTCCTTCCTTCCTTCTCTCCCTCCCTTGTTCCTTCCCTCCTTCCTTCCCTCCCTCCCTCCCTCCTTCCTTCCTTCCTTTCCGAACGCCAAAGGAGCGCAACTGCAGTGCTGACCGACTAAGCTGGGTGATGAGATGTTTATTTAAAGATGTCCGTGTGAGTGTAGAAGAAAAGGGGGAAAGATACCTGAAATAAAAAACCCCAATACTGAGCAGTGAGTTGGACTAGAAGACCTCCAAGATCCCATCCAGCTCTGCTCTGCTCTATTCTGTTCTATTTACTCCAGTGTCTGTTCTACTCTACTCTTATTCTATTCTACTCTATTCTATTCTATTCTATTCTATTCTATTCTATTCTATTCTATTCTATTCTATTCTATTCTACTTTTACTCTGCTCTGCTCTGCTCTATATTCTGCATTCTACATTCTATTCTATTCTATTCTATTCTATTCTATTCTATTCTATTCCTATTCCATTCTTATTTCTATTCTACTCTACTCTGTTCTGTTCTTATTTCTACTCTACACTACTCTACTCTACTCTACTCTACTCTACTCTACATTCTACATTCTACATTCTATTCTATTCTATTCTATTCTATTCTATTCTATTCTATTCTATTCTATTCTATTCTATTCCATTCCATTCCTATTTTTATTCTACTCTACTCTGTTCTGTTTTTATTTCTACTCTATTCTACATTCTACATTCTACATCCTATCTCCTATCCTATCCTATCCTATCCTATCCTATCCTATCCTATCCTATCCTATCCTATCCTATCCTTCCTAGAGAGTCTTGTGGGAAGAAACTCTATGCCAAATGCCTCTGCTGGAGACACTCTCTCTGCATGGGATTCTTGGCCCCAGCAACTGCCTGACGGTGGGGTGTGTGCCAGGAGGCTGGAGCAGAACTGGCGGCCCCACTTCCTTTGGGGTGGGCAAACTCCACCCAAAAGGATGCCCCCCCAAAGCGCATTGCATCGAAGTCCCTGTGCAAGGACGCCTCTGCTACAGCCCTAAACCTTACAGGCCAGACTTAGATGATGTTAGCAATTTGGGGGATCCAGGAAGTGTCTGCATGGCCGGGCTGGGGTTCAACCTCCTCTGGGTCCTTGGATCCCGAAAGGAAGAATCCATTCTGCAGGGGTGGGGGGGAGACTGAGAAGCCCAGAGAAAGTTTCTCATCTTCGAAACGAATCAGAATCAGAATAGAGCTGGAAGGGGACCTCGGAGGTCTTCTAGTCCAGCCCGCTGCTCAAGCAGGAGACCCTATGCCATTTCAGACGAGTGGCTGTCCAGTCTTAGTCCTTAATGGAAGAAAGTCGAGCGTTTTGGGGTAACGGGAAGAGTTTTGAGGCCTGTGTTCTTCTCTCAAGCTCTGGGCCCTCCTTTCGCCTGGTGAGGTGACTTCGCAGCGAAGGCAACATGGGCACCACGGAAGCCACGCTGCGGATGGAAAACGTGGAGGTCAAGGAGGAGTGGCAGGACGAAGACTTCCCCAGGTTGGTACTTGCCGGGGGGGGGGGAGAGTTGCTCTCTGGGGGTGGGGGGAGGGGTCATTCCAGGCAGGTGAGCATTCCCGCTGGGCCCACCATCCCCCGGGAGCAAAAAAAAATGCATCTCCTTCACCTTTCTTTCTGGCCAAGGATGCTTCCCCCCCCCCCGGTCTTCTGCTTGAGATGGACTCCATTTCGGTGCTCTCGCCCCTCCATCCCTCAGAACCATGAGGACTAGAAACCTTGGTTTGTTTTGGGGAGAAAGGAGCGCTCTTGAAAGGCAGAGCACCAGCTCGGTGTGTGGGCAGTTCAGTCCTTGGCACCCCAAGGTTTGCTTGGCTTTGAAATAACAAGATGGTATTGGGAAAAATAATGTTTTTTTGAGGCACTGGATGGCTACCGGATTGTTGGTCATTGGAGAACATGTCTGGACAGGCAGAAGGGAAAGTTCTTGGCAGGGACACTGCCCTGGACACTGGAGTTTCAGATAGATAGATAGATAGATAGGTAGGTAGGTAGGTAGGTAGATGGATGATGGATGGAGAGAGGCAGATGGACAGACATGGATGGATAGATAGATAGATAGATAGATAGATAGATAGATAGATAAGATAGATGTTGGATGATGGATGGAGAGAGGCAGATGGACAGACATACGGACAGATGGATGGATGGATGGATGGATGGATGGATGGATGGATGGATAGATAGATAGATAGATAGATAGATAGATAGAGGGATGCATGATGGATGGAGAGAGACAGACAAACATATGGACAGACAGATGATAGGTAGGTAGGTAGGTAGTTGCAATGTATGGATGTGAAAGCTGGACCATAAGAAAGGCTGAACGCCAAAGAATGGAGGCCTTTGAACTCTGGTGCTGGAGAAGACTCCTGCGAGTCCCCTGGACTGCAAGGCGATCCAAGCGGTCAGTCCTAGAGGAGATCAACCCCGACTGCTCTTTAGAAGGCCAGATCCTGAAGTTGAG